CGTCTTCAGCTCTGCCTGGGGTCTGCTACCTTTGCTCTTCCAGTGTCTTCTAGGTGCGAGGATGTAAGCCACACAAGGTGTGCGGCATATTTGTTTCGTTGTAGGCCAAGTTCTCCTGTGGTTCCCCCCCGCCTCTACCCCCCACCCCAGTACTGTTGAGTTTGTTCAAAGCTGGGTGTGCTGAAGCGCTACGGAAGCCTCCCGCTGTCAGGACGCTGCTTGTCCTGGCCTCAGCAGAGGCCCAGTCTGCTCCTGTGCCCACCTGTCCAGCAGGCTTCAACGTTGACTCCTGAAAGAGTTTGTATTTATTTTATTTTGCACTAGTCACAGTTGTTGTTAAACTATATCACATGTTTTGGGAGAGTATTTGCCTGTGATGGAAAGAGAAATGGATGATTTATGGCTTCAATTGTTTTAAATTAAAAGCTATTCTCACAATCTGAGGCCCTCTATGGCTCATTTTTTTCCTAATTTTGAAAAATGCCAAGTAAATCGATTCTGCCATTGATTGTTTTATATGTCAGTGCAACAGGTAACTTGAGACATGATGACTCTTACTTCTTTTCAGGGGTTCTTGGTGTTACCAGGCAGGTGTCACAGTGGAACCTCAGTGATGGCACATTGTTGCCTCTGTGGAGGAGGGAGAGGCTGGGGCAGGGCGGGGTCTCCTGCTTGGGTTTGTCTGCCAGATGTCACGTCACAGATCTTTCTGTTGTTCCCTGGATCTCAGTTTGCTGATGGCTCCCTTAACACAGATAAAAGCAGAATGGATACATGCTACGTCCAGAGATTTAGGCGTTTCTATGACCCTGTTTCTCTAAGGCGTATGAGTTCTCTATTGCTGCTGTGACAAATGACCACAAACTCAGTGGCTTAAAATAATACATGTATTAGTATGCAAATGGGTGGGGCTAAAATCAAGGTGTGGGTAGGGGAGCTTTAGAATCAGTTCCGGCTTTTTCTAGTGTCTAGAGTCTGCTCACATTCCGGGCCATGGTCTCCCCACACCACTGGCATCACGGCAGCCCCAGCTTTCACAGCCACAGCTCCCCGGCTCACTTACTTCCCGCTTATAAAGACCCTGTGGGCCAGGCATGGCGGCTCACACCTGTAATCCCAGCACTGTGGGAGGCCAAGGGGGTGGATCACTTGAGGCCAGGAGTTCAAGACCAGCCTGGCCAGCATGGGGAAACCCCGCCTCTACCAAAAATATAAAAATTAGCCAGGCGTGGTGGTGCACACCTGTAATCCCAGCTACTTGGGAGACTGAGGCAGGAGAATCGCTTGAACCCTGGAGGCAGAGGCTGCAGTGAGCCGAGATGGTGCCGCTGCACTTCCAGCCTGGGCAACAGGGCGAGACTCCATCTAAAAAAACAAATAAACAAAAAAACACCCTCGTGATTACATTGGTCTCACCCAGATAATCCAGAATATTCTTCTCAAGATCCTCAGCATAATCCTATCTGCAGAGTCTCTGCCACCACGTGAAGTAACATAGTCACAGGCTTTGGGTGTTAGGCTGTGAACATCTTTGCATGGAGTAGTCGTTTTCCCACCACATAGGATATGTTAATCGGTGCTTAAAAATCTATTCAGTGTTCACTTTTTTTTTTTTTAGAAGAATGAACCTACCTATTTTTAAAAATCCAAGTAAATGACCAGCTTCAGTGTTCTGCCATACGTTTTGGTGAGGGAGATAAAGCAATGAGGGAATGATTAAGGTGGCGAAGGACTATTTTCTACCAGACGATGTTGAAGTTTCTGGGACAATGTTTGAAGCCCCCTGTTATTCCCATCCATTTTCTTTTCTTTCTTTTTTTTTTTTGACAGAGTTTCACTCTTGTGGTCTAGGCTGGAGTGCAGTGGGGTGAGCTCACCACACCCTCCGCCTCCTGGAGTCAAAAGATTCTCCTGAGTAACTGAGATTACAGGCACGTGCCACCACGCCCGGCTAATTTTGTATTTTTAGTAGAGACGGGGTTTCTCCGTGTTGATCAGGCTGGTCTTAAACTCCTGACCTCAGGTGATCCGCCTGTCTCCCAAAGTGCTGGGATTACAGGCATGAGCCACCGCGCCCGGCTGTCCGCCTTCTCTGCCTCATCGTGTTGAATGGGGGGTTTCCCAGTGTGAATATACACTGTTGAATTTTTGGTCCTGCTTTTCAGTGCTGTTGGTGACACACTTCAGTGGTAGTGGGAAAGCCATTCTCATCCCTCGTGCCACAGTCATTTCAAAATCAACTAGGAAAAGTCGTCGTGGTGGTGGGGAGGCAGGGTGGTAACTGCAGGCGTGGAGGCGTACAGGTGTGAAGTCAAGTCCTGTTTCCAGCACGGACTAGCTGTGTGACTTTGGAAACATCATTTCCTGAGATTCACTCTTTTCATCTGTACAGTGGGCACGGTAATACCTGGGGTGCGTTACATAAAGCATACACCATCCGGTGAACACAGGGCCTGTTCACATCACCATTTCCAGCCATTTGGCACTGACTTTATGGAGGTTTTGACCATTTGTTTCAGCCTAAAAGATTTTTTAAGATATCAGAATTATGCCAACATTGATGAATTTTTTCCAAGAGTATTTTTCTGGCGATAACGTCATTAAGTCAGTTAATTTTGTTGATGTAAATAGCATGGCTCATCACCTGATAAACAGTAAACATCTATGTGCTATGCATCCTTTTCTTAGAATGTATCTGTAAATAAGGATAAGATTCCTGCCCTTGTTTTTTATTTCTTAGCAAGGAAAGATAGATACAAAACATAAAAAATAAGTAGAATCTATAACGAGGTATTAAATGCTGTGAAATAAAACACACAGGAGTGGTGAGGGTGCAGATCGCTGTATAAACAGGGTCTGTAGGAAACAGAGCATTTGGAGGTGAGATTTGAACCAAGACATGAAGGAAGTGAAGGAGTCATCCGGGGGGTATTTGGGGAAAGAATATGCTCGGCAGAGGGACTAGCTGGTGCACAGGCCCCACAGTGAGGGTGTCTGCTGTCAGAGGAGCATCAAAAGGATCAGGATAGCTCAAGAGAAGGGAGCGAGGGGGAGAGCAGTGGGAGAGGAGCTCAGAGAGGGGCCAGTCTGCCTGCCCCAGGAAGCCTTGGGAAGGACTTCACTCCAGAGGGCAGTGGGGTGCGCTTGTAGGGCCATGGGCAGAGCTAACCCAATCTCACTGAGGTTTCATAAATTCTTGTTCAGACGAGATGGTAGGAAGGCAAGGATGAAGACTGGGGCTCCTGTGGTTGGCAAGGTGGGAGGGTGATCGCTCAAACAGGGTGGGAGCAGTGACGCTCGTGAGAATGGTCACATTCGGGACGCATTTGAAGGTGAGACCTGCAAATTCCGATGCACAGGGTGCAGGCTATGAGGGAATGCGCGTAGCTAAAGGGAACCTCAAAGTTGTTATCCCGAGGAGCTGAAGAGTGTAGTTACGGTGAACTAAGACAGGGAAGGCTTGGTGGGACTGGGTGGTGATGGTGGAGAAGGATGGCTGCAAGTCCGGTTTAAGATACGCTAAGTTTGAAATGCCCATCAGAACTCCATGGTTGATGTTGGGTTGGAAGCTTGATTTTGGGAGAGAGTTCTGGACTAAAGATGGAAACTTGGGACTTGTTGGCATCTTGATGATATTTGAAACAATGGGACTGGGTACAGTCAGCAACGGAGGGAGACAGGACACAGAAGTCCAGGGACTGTGAACGCGGGGCGTTTCCCCCCAAGAAGTCAGGGAGAAGACAAGCTAATGAAGGAGGCTGAGGAGTGACCTTCACGGTGGACGGAAGCCGGAGCATGGAGCCCAGAGTGGAAGCTAAGAGGAGGAGGTGTCTCACGGAGGCGAGTGATCAACCTTCCAGTAACTGTTATGGGGTAAGTGGGCGGAGGGCTGAGAATCCAGGTCCTGGGCGACCTCTGTGGGAACAGTTCTGGAGGCACGGTGAAAGGGGTGGGTTGAAGGGAGAATGGGAGGAGTTGCAGATGACGAATGCAGCCAGCTCTTCAAGGACTTTTACAACAATGGGCAAAGAAGGGAGTGGTGGCTGATGGGAAACGGAGTGAGGTCAAGGGAAGTTTTTTGTTTTTAAAAGTGAGAAATAAGTTGGTCAAATAGAAAACGAAATATTGAGGGTGTAAGAGAGAGATGGAAGATGTCCTTGAGCTAATCTGATGTCCTCGAGTAGGGAAAAGGTGATAGGATCTGGTGACAAAGTGGGGAGCTGATTTAGATAAGGACACAGAAAGACGGTGGCAATAGGGGAAGGTAGAGGCCAGGGCAGTGGGGAGCTGACCTGGGAAGGACACAGAAGGGCCATGGGAATAGAAGGCAGAGGCCAGGGCAGTGGGGAGCTGACTTGGGAAGGACACAGAAGGGCCATGGGAATAGAAGGCAGAGGCCAGGGCAGTGGGGAACTGACTTGGGAAGGACACAGAAGGGCCATGGGAATAGAAGGCAGAGGCCAGGGCAGTGGGGAGCTGACTTGGGAAGGACACAGACCATGGCAGCAGAGGAAGGCAGAGACCAGAAGTGCAGCTATTAGTGGTGAGAAGACACAGTCCTGAGGGAGTCTGACAGTTCTCTTTTTCCTGCTTTATTTTCTCAGCAAAATAGGGGCAATTTCATCAGTTGAGAGCAATGATGGGGGAATTCAGTGATTTGAGGAGAGAGGAGAGGTGTGAAATAGCAGTCCCAAACTCCACTTGCCAACAAATCTCACCCCAATTGCCATGTAAGAGGAAACTTTCCTGACCACCTACAGATAAAGGTGCCCCCGACGCGTTCTCATGATAACTTATTTGCCTTGTTCTAGTACTCTGTAGCACATGGCATTCTTATTTGTTAAAGTATTTGTGGGTGTCCTTTCACAGAAATCTAAGTTCTTTCACGGCAGTTTTGATTTCATTTACTTACCGCTGTGTCCCACGCCCAGAATGGTGCCAGCACATAATTTGTACCCAAATATTTATTGACCGACCAAAAAACCAGAAGACCCTAAAACTGAAATTTATTTTAATATTTTTATTCTAAAAGAATCACAAAATTCAATTTCAGGTTAGATAATATTTTAGTCTTAAAAAATTAACAAAGGAGGAAGATTTTTAAAGTTTTGTTGTATATCCAAAAATGCATTCCTGATTTCCAGATAACTCATGCAAAATCATATGTAGTGACATTCAATAAAAGGACCTTTAGCCAGTAGTACAAATTGGATTCCATTTGATCAGAAGCAATTCTGATCCCCAAATCCCATTTTGAAAGATTCCTGAAAAGACCTTGAAGCTGCAAAGTTTATTTGAAACCATAGTTTAAAACTGCACAAATATGAATACAATTTAATAATGTGAAAAGGGAAGGCATGCTTCCAATCATAGTGCAAAAATACTACCTTAATCTTGGTATGCAAATTAGAAGCCAACTGAGTAAACACATCGATATGATGAAGTTATTTTTATGGTAATTTTATTTCAAAGAGCAATGCAGGGAAATACTAAGATGAAGCCTTAATACCCAACAGAGTTGTGCTATGATACATGTTATTTCACTAAATCACAGATACAGTATCACATAATATGCCAATAACTTTAAAATCCACCCCCCCATTGCCATTAATTTACTATAGGTCACTTAATTTGAATTGGTATTAATTTAATAACTCAATGTAAACATTTAAACTTAATTTTTTGTTATCTATTTCAGCTTGAAAATGAAATCCCAAGATGTTAAACATTTGCGAGCATGATGAGGATGCATCACAGAAGAATTTGTCTGAAAACATTTTTAGATAAGTAATATTCATACAAAATATATAGAAATGTCTTTTCTAAATAGTTAAATGTTTGTTACAGTTTGTAAAAAGTTTAATAATGGGGTTTTTTTTCAGCCGATGTAAACAAATTTGGGCAATGTGAATTGAAGAAAGTTCAGGTTAGATGATATATGAGGAAAATGAAGGATGTTGGCAAAATCTTAGGTTTGCTGTTTCCTTTAACTACTGGTAATGTAGTCCATCGTGGACACATTTTTCACGTGGCAGAGTTCTTGTGTGGTATCCATGCAAAAAACGTTCTACATCTCAGTGAAAATGCCAAACGCTCACATTCCCTCGTCGGGTGTGTGTACCTCTTAGTCTTTTTGTGTGACACCATTTCCCTTTCCAAGAAATTCAAAGACCACCACCACTCCCCTAAAGGATGATACACATTTTACAGTTGAGCAAAGACCTGCCTAATAATTGTTGTTTCCATCTGAATATTATTTGAAGTGCAGGCTTCTGAAAGTATCCCATGTTGCTCATCAGGTTTTGCTGTGACATTCTGCAGCATTGCAAGTTAGTTTTCTCTTGCAGAGAAGGTCCTCAGAAAACAGTTCTGAGACTGGCACTCTTGTCTCTGGACTGTGTTATTTTGGTATTTCTGCAGAGGGTGCAGGGAGTGGAAACTTCATTCAAGGCAAAACGCCACGTGAGAGGTGGTTAAACCTCGCGGTTTAAGTTTGTTTTTTCTTTTAACTGTTTAATGCCTCCACACAATGATCTTTGCTCCCTGTGAATGTGTAGAATTCTGTCTTTGAGCTCATGGTATGTGTGTGAGGGTACCGGGGTGTATGGAGTGAGGAACAGGGCTGTTTCTAATGTAAGACCCTATGGGCTCACTGAGCTTTGCTCTCTCCCTTTCTGGTCTCCTCATAAAATAGGGGTTACAGGAGAAGGCAGTAAGAGGATTTCAGAGCTGGTTGTGAGTGGCCATGAAATCACCTCATCACTCCCTAAATATCATGTTTCTAGACCTGGTGATCAAGTCCAATTTCTCGTGGGACATTTAGCCCAAGCAGCTCAACTCCCAATACAAATAGGGCTGCATCAGAACAATGTCGTGACACCTCACACACTCACGATGTGACATTTGCGGAAATTAAGGCCCTATATCTACCTGGCTGTGTGATGATTTTGGTGTGACTGACATTACCCCAGCCTCCTCACCTTATTTAGAATATCAGTTTTTCTAATGTATTCCTAAACTTTCAGGAAAATTTTGAAATGCATTATTAACAATTTAGAGTCCAAATCTTTATATACTGAGACAGTCAACATGATTTAGTTTAACAGCATCCAGACACTTGGATTTGTTTAGGTTTTGGATCTGTTGTGGCTCAACTGGTTTTTCAAAAAATGTTTAGACGTCTAAGTACCCAGGTTCTTCAGAGGATTAGTTTGGCACTGGGAACCCTGTACAAACCAGATGTGTGAATATCTGCCAAGTTCAGTGTGACAGCACAAAAACAATCTCAAGGGTAGGGTAAGAAAAGCAAACAGTCCACAAAAATGCTCCCTTGTGTAGAGGCAAGGAGCAGTAAGGTAACCTATGAGACAGTCATGCACTGTGTCAATTTACATTCAGTCAAGTTATCTTGCATGCTTTGGTTAATATTTGAGTAGGCAGATTTGCAAGTACTAATGCATGCATTATTTTTGTACCTGAGGTTATATGTTTTACTTTTAAAAAATTGCTTTTTTACAACCTTTATGCCAGAATTTGTCTATGAACACTCTTTAAAAATATATATATGTATCTACTTCTTAGTTCAAAACAGTTTAATTTCAGCCAGTTCTATAACTACTGAGATGACAGGGAAACGAGAATAAAATGTGGATAGTAAATGAATTATTTTACAATGTTGAAATCATAAGTGTGCATGTGTAACCATTTCTAAAATAAGAAGGTTCAAAAAGGATGGCATCTACAGTAAGCCTTTAGAATACCCTGTTTCTAGAATGTTCTTGAAGTATCTCAAGATATGAAACCACCACCGCCACTGCCAGAACAGCTAACTTAAAGTCCAGTCCAACCTTGGCGAACAGATTCAGGGGCAAATGAGGAAAGGTCTCAGCATGATCAACTTGCTTTCTCTATATTCCCAAGCTCACAAAGTTTGTGATAAAGAGTTTGGAAGCTCTTATGATAAGTGGGACTAGCTGCAACTGCACGGCCTCTAGTCTCGCTTGTATGGCAAGAATATCCCAGAAATATTTATCTCTACAAGTATTTAGACGTGGGGCCCATGATTCAATATAATAGTTCTCCTAGAAGAACGAGGGAAGTGGCATGAAACTCTGAGAGTGAGTGTGTGAAACGTAAGTGGACGTTCCTGCCCAGTTACGTTTCCATGCTTTTCTGTTCTAGTAGAATCCGGATTGGCTGGGAAAGCACAGTTCATCGTTTTCTATTAAAGTTTCTTGGTGGACAAGATCTGCCCGGTTTTCAGGAGTCATGGGGAGTGAGTTCTGGAGGAAGTGAAGGGAACGAATCAGTGTGACTGGCCCAGTAAGAGGATCTTTATTCCTCCTCCTCTCCCCATCCCTCCGCCTTCTCCTCACCAGGAAGGTACAACAGCCCGTAGAAGTCGCCTACTAGAAATGGTTATAACATGTTTTGAAACTCAGCAGTGATCACTGGCTTTCTCTATATTTTCATCCAATTTACAGGCAAAGTCAGCCCCTGAAAGTCACTTCTATGTAACTGAGTGGCCATTCTAGCAAAAAATCATCTTCTAGGAGCTGTCAGGCTGTTGTACCTTAATATATGAGAAAGGAGATGCAAAGCCTTCTCAGAGTACCTCAAAAGGGAAATAAGGATGCCCTCCCCTTTCAAATGGAAAGAGTAATTTAAATGACAATCTTATGACATGCCAAAAATAGTTCTGCCAAAAAATGAAGTAGATGCCCTTTTAAAAAACCAAACATTTATATGATTTATACAAAAAAGACGTTTTAAAGTCTTGTTACTTATTTTATAGGTGGTGCTCTAATCCTATAAACTGTCGCTCATTTTTAAATAATGGTTTTTACTTAATTTTATAAAAGATATTATTGAAAAATGCAACTATTTTCCTCTTGGGCCGTAATTCTGGACTTCTTGACAGCCTATAAATATCTTAGATCTGACGGGTACTAGATATACTGGAGAAAGTCCTAGTAAAATGCTCTGCAAATTGCCAAATGACGGTGAGAACAGAAGATTGTCCAGTCTTCCCTAAAACAGCTCCTTGGAGTTTGTGTTCCAATAGCAAAACAAAACCTGGGCCACAGAATTTGCCACCATTTAGCAACAAATTATTTGACATTTATACTAGTTTCAGCCTTTAAATTCAGGCTGCAAATTCAGTTGCTGCTCCAAATATAGAACGACATCACGGACAGAATGCTTGCAGAGTTTGCTTCGAATCCTTTGTTCAGAGGATCCTCATGGACTATTGAAGCCGACTTGCTGGTCCAAGTATGGAGATGGTCGGAGGAAGGAGCAGTGGGGGAGGATGCTCTTCCATCGGGCATATTTTCCATCAGGCATAGTCAAGCAGCCCCTGCCGTGGCTTGGAGGCTGTCTCCAAGAGTCCTTACCGGACTGTTTCTCAAATTCTACAACTCTCAGATGCCATGCTTGAAAATAATGTTGAGCTTCACTTTGCTGCTGAGATGGCAGAGAAGCATGGGCTGAGACTGGATGGTCGCTGTGGCCGCTGAGAATGCCTGAATGCCTCTGCCTTCTGCTGACCGGCTGGGGCTGCTCAAGTGAGCTTTGACAATGAGTATCAAAACCCGGCGTTCCCACAGTGCCCTCCACGCTTTGTCTTTATAAACTAGAATAGGTTATAACATACGTAAGCCTCCAGGATCTGTGGTTTCTGTTCAGCTGAGGCCCCCTCACAACCCAGGGACTTCAGATGTAACAGAGGAGAGGATTTATTCCTGCACCTAGCATTCCATTTATACGCGTGTGTGCACATCTGCCCCTCTGGAGAAGCTAATTACTCAGGCAGTTAGACTGTTTTGACCCCAATTCTGTGGAGTTTTTGTTGCTGTTGTTTTGTTTTTCAGTGGGCAACTATAATCATGAGCGGAATGAGCTATTGCTCATGAAAGAACATAAAGACAAAGTTAGGATCAGACTACTTTGGGAAAGGTTCTAGACAAAGCGAGGAGAGGAGGTCAAGCAGAATGGGCTAACTTTCCAGACCTGACGTTGGTAACATTGTATTTCCATTAGCATTTTGCAAACAATGTTCCTTATTCTTTAAGAGCATGCTCTTTCATATCAAATCATCAGCATCCAGTGAGATTCGGTTTGAAGATGTTGCTCTTCTGTCACTTAGAATGCAAGGGGTTAAACAGTCCAGGTTATTATGAAACTAAGAACACATAATTTTAAGGAAAAAATGTTATTTATCACTCTTAATAAATATTATTTAAAATATTTATGGTTTAAAAGGAATATTGGTGTGCAGGGCAGTTATAAAGCCAGTAAAATATGACACTTAGGCAAGTTAAACTGAACTCAATAGAAATCCCGAGATCAGCACTTTCTCCCTGCAGAGAATGCACGGAGAGACAGTACCTGTGTCTTACTTCTGTTGGAACAGTCCCAGAAAGCATGTGAATGGAAAGATCTGTTTGCCATATCTACACCTATGTCCTCATGTCTGCTTTAAGAAAAACACTCCTTCAAAACCCTACACTTCGAAAAACTATTTTCAGGAATTGTTTATTTGGTCCGTTGATCTAATGAGGCTGAGTTCTCAAATCTTCCACCCCCAAGTTAAAAATTGGAGCAACGAAACAAAACTCCAGCAAGGCATAAATAAGATATTAAAGTGCATATATACAATCCCGGAAAAGTTTAGATTGGGAACAGCAAAAATTTCTAGTGCAAAAATGGCTTTTGCCAGCAAAGCTCCCTCTCTGGAATCAAGGGCTACAGTGAAAGTTAAAATTGGAACAGGTTGAAGCAATGCCTGTCTTTAGTCACGAGTTAACCTATGTGCATGCACCAGTGGCCCCAGCTATGCTCAGCCTTGCAACAGGAGACAGTTCAGAAACAGCCAGGCTGTCCCAGTCTGAAGCAGTGCCCTCTCCAGGTTTCCATGAACAAGCGCCTCAGATGTAGCATCAGCTGCAAGTGGAGACAGAAACCCAAAGAACCCGTCGCAGTATGCTTGCAACTTGTGCAGGGTATTCCACACACAGTTTCTTCATCTCAGTTTGTCTTGAGTCTGTCAGTTCTTCTTTGGACCGTGACCTTGACGCTATAGACAACATTTTGTGCTTTTGGATCTGAACAGAGACTGGGCATTGTCTGTAGGTATTAATTTCCTTGGGCTATATGACCATGGCCTTTCGAATATTTGATTTATCCTTTTGAAATTCATAATAAAAGTTTTTCATTTTTCAGTACAATTACACAGATCAGAGATTATTAGTACTGGTATTATTCTTTCTTCAAGGATCCAAGTTGAAAGCTCTTAAGAGGACATCCAGGTCACCAAGATTAGCCGCCTGGAAGAGTTCTGGTTGGTCCATCAGAGAGAGTGCAATTCTGAGGGCAGCCCAGATATTCCCAGAGATCGCAGGATGAGGAACTTGCTGTTGATTCCTGCTCTTTCTTTGCAAACTGAGGGCAGTGAGAAAATTGCTGACCGCTTCTCTAAGAAGGTAGAGAAACAGATATTTTAAAATTCATCACATTTCAGAGTTAGCAAATGTAAACAAAACAAAACAAAATTGGATTAAGTGAGTTTAGCCTAAAATCGCCTCTTATGGCGTTCTGGATGGTCAAATGAACAACTTTCTAATTCTTTTATGTTCTTTAGTGAGCAATCATTGTTAAATATAAGAAAAAAGAAAAGCAGGCTGGGCACGGTGGCTCACACCTGTAATCCAGGCACTTTCGGAGGCCAAGGCAGCTGGATCACTTGAGGTCAGGAGTTCGAGATCAGCCTGGCCAACATGTTGAAACCCTACGTCTACTAAAATTCAAAAATAGCCGGGTATAGTGGCACGTGCCTGTAATCCCAGCTGCTTGGCAGGCTGAGGCAGGAAAATCGCTTGAACCCGGGAGACGGAGGTTACAGTGAGTCGAGATTATGCCACTGCACTCCAGCCGGGGCAACAGAGTGTGACTGTCTCAAAAAGAAAAAGCAAATTTTATTTTAGGAATGTCAAGTGGGAGAGAAAGAATAATAGCAAAACCATGCAAATTCACTAATGCATTCAATTTCCCCTGCTCCAGGAATGATTTGAACACTTAATCCATCTGCAGATTTGATGTCTATAACTAGGTTTAAGAGGAAGAATACAGCCCCACTTAAAAACACAGTGGTCTCATTTTCCCCACTAGTGACGCACATATGGAACACAGCTAGAGGGATGAGTTTATTATTGGGCACCTGGAATTGTGTCCCAGTTATTTAGCAGTAGGCAAACTTCTTGTCTTTTCCAAGCCTTACTTTCCCTGAATGTGTAATAGATATTTAAAGACTTTGTGAGGTGCAGTTGGACCAATCTACATGCAAGCTCTCACCATTGAGTAAGATCAGTAGTCCTCAGAGTGGATCTGGAGAAGCTTGGGGATAAGTGAGGTCAAAATTATTGTTATGGTAAAACTAAGATGTTATTTGACCTGTTGCTTTCTTTTTTTTTTCTTTTGCATGCTTACGGTGGAATTTTCCAGAGACTGCATGGTACATGACCGCAATGGAGGCATGCAGAAGCAGCTGTGGGAGTGTGTCTTCTAGTAAGCAAGACATTAAAGAGATCGGCAAAAATGTGAAACAGTGTCACTCTTCCCACTAAACTGCTTTTGTTTTGGAAAATTATTTTTTGTAAAATATATTATTTATGATAATATGTAGTGAGTTTTATTTTTTTAAATTTATTTTTATTTTTTGAGACAGAGTCTCGCTCTGTTGCCCAGGCTGGAGTGCAGTAGCACAATCTCAGCTCACTGCAACCTCCACCTCCCAGGTTCAAGCGATTCTCCTGCCTCAGGCCCCCTAGTACCTGGCATTACAGGTATGCGCCACCATGCCTGGCTAATTTTTGTATTTTTAGTAGAGACGGGGTTTCACCATGTTGGTTGGGCTGGTCTTGAACTCCTGATCTCAGGTGATTCACCTGCCTCAACCTCCCAAAGTGATGGGATTACAGGTGTGAACCACTGTGCCCGGCCAAGTTTCATTCTTTTTAAATGAATCATTAAAAATGTTTTCAGTTTAATTTCTAATATGGTAAATATTGATAGATATAACCCACATAAACAAAAGCCCTTTGAGGTTCTCAATACTTGTTAAAAGTAGAGAGGGATCTTGAGAACAATGAGCTACAGACATGCTGAAGATGCCGTCTGCAATCCTCCTGGCTCCTCTAGCCCACAAGTCCACTCTGCTGCTCAGGTGCCAGGTGAACCTGCTGGGGCTGCCCTCTTCAGCACCCCCACTCCACTCCAGCCTTGTAGTGCGTCTGACAAACATCCTTCCCAAGAACAATCATGCCACTTTAATCTGCATCCACTTTACTGTTCTCAGAAACCTTTCATACGCTCAATCTCATTGAATCCTGGAAGGTAGGTATTAAGCATCTGGTAAGAAACTTAGAAAGTGACACTGGATTTCTAATTCTAAAGCACGCAATCCAGGAATCTGCTCATTTATATAGTTAGATCTGCCTGACAATGAAAGGAAAGTGAGGGGCGGTCATGGTGTATGTGGCAACCTGGACAATGGAATGGAGTGTGTGTCCTAGTCACCCCCCTTCTGAGTTTCTTGTAATCAAGCAAGAGAGGGCAGTTTATAAGTGGATGGACACAGGGGTCTGTCTGAGAGCCCTTTTCACCCCCGCTTGACAGGATGGCAGCTCTACTGATGTCTCCCAATTTTCTCTCATAGGCGCAGAGCTGCAAGAACCCAAGGCAAAGGAAGATCTTGAAAGCCTCTCATTCTCTGGCTTCTTCCAGCCCCAAGTATGTGGTGAGGTGGAGAGAAACAGAAGAGTCGAACTTACTCACCTCAGCAAATGACTCCAGTCTCCCCGCCACCACCCGTAAAGATAGTCTAAACCTCTTCCCTTTCTTGTGAACTCGGAGCCCTTTTGGGGCACTCAGGAGGTTATACGTGTATATGTGTGAATAGTTTTCAATTGTTTCACACACATACATAAAAGTAAGTTTAAATCGTTTGTGTACATTGTCATGATTAATAAAAAGCTCACTCAGTGAAAAGCATTACGTTACAGCTTTCCCTCACTTTACTCATACTAAAATATTACTATCAAGGGGGATAGAATTTTCATCAAAAGGAGTCCTCGTTTTTGAAAAGGTTAAGACTGGCTGGTCTAAGCTCTACGCTGGAGCTTTGTCAGTAGACAAAGGTGTAACATTTTGGGCTACGCCCGTTTCCTTATTGTAACTGTATACTAGGGTAGTGCTCGCCTTTGACTCTCTATAGAAAATGTGAGCTGTCACAGCTACATACACTGACACCTGCAGTTCCTGAGGGAGCGGTCCCAAGACGTTTGTGAACTGGAAGGTACTTACACCAGCTCCTCACTTCCTCCTGAGCCCTTTCTCTACTAAGGGCTGCTGTTTCCTGAGCCTACCTCAAGTTCTCCTTCTTTGCAGAATCCATTTAACATTTACGTCTCTCTCGCTGGCCATGGTGACTCACACCTGTAATCCCAGCACTGGGGGAGGCTGAGGCAGGCGGATCAGAAGTTCGGAACAAGCCTGACCAACCTGGTGAAACCTTGTGTTTACTAAAAATACAAAAATTAGCCGGGAGTGGTGGTGGGCGCCTGTAGTCCCAGCTACTCAGGGAGCTGAGCAGGAGAACTGCTTGAACCTGGGAGGCAGAGGTTGTTGTGAGCCGAGATCACACCACTGCACTCCAGCCTGGGTGACAGTGAGCCTCCATCTCAAAAAAAAAAGAAAAAAATTTACTTCTCTTTTTTGGGTTTTTTTTTTTTTTTTTTTTTCAGGAAAAAGCACAAAATTCTTACCATTTCTCAGATTTCCCACATCTGGCATGACAACAAAAGACCCACAAAACTTAGTTGATATGTTCCAAAGTAGCCAACTGAGTAGCGTTGCCAGACTTAGCAAATAAAAATACAGAATGCTTCGTTAAATCTGAACTTCAGAGAAACATCCCTTGGTATCCACAGGGGATTGGCTTCACAAACCCCTGAGAACACCAAAGTCTGCGAATGCTCACGTCCCTTGTATAAAATAGCACAGTGTTTGCATGTCACCTGCACATACCGCCCATATACTTTATCATCTCCAGATTACTTACAATGAGTAAAATGTAAACACGATTGCATTTGTTATACTATATTGTTTTTTAAAAATTGTATTTTTTAATGTATTCAATCCACAGTTGGTTAAACCCATGGATGTGGAACCATGGATGGATGGCCCAGCTGTACAGGAATATCTCACGCAATGTTTGGAAAATACTTATACTAAAAACTTACTTGGTGTTTATCTGAAATTCAAATTTAAGTGAGCATTCTGTGTTTTATCTGGTAACCCTAAAACTGACCTACTCCAGTATGGGAGACTTTCTGCTTGGGGATTTAAAATTTACGCCTTCACGGAGTTGGCCATTTTTACCAGTCATGAGCCCTCATGGCTCCTGCAGATAGTAACCCTGCTGAATTTTCTGACTGTGAATGCCAATAAAGCACTTTATTGATCCTGCAAGTATTTTTTTCTAACCCTAAGGAGTTACAATTAAGAAACACTCATCTAGGGGCTTTATAAGAGCCCCCTTTAATTGAGGCTTTACATATATTAAAAGCTTTACATATATAATATATGGTATATATGTATAACATATAGTGTAGCTATATTATAGTGCATATAGATATTTAATATATGTGTATGTATAAAATATAGTATATAAAAATATAGTGTATATATAACATGTATGTAATGCTTATATATATTACATTCCCTTTTAAAGAACAATTATAACAATTACATTATATGTTTTATATATATATTTCCATCCCCTATCTCCCTTGTTCTAAAAAAAGGGAATCTAGGGTGTCTCATAAAATACATATACACAACGTCTCTAGAAAAAAAAACGAATGAAAGCGGTAAACAGCAAATCTGGTCGGGAAAATAAGATGAAGCCAGGAATGATGCTAGGATGGGAGGCGGACATCAGGGGCTTGGACAGCTGCGCATGGCGGGTGGCGCACAGTCAGTGCTGGGCTTCTGCACAGCGACGCGCAGAGCCTCTGCAGCGGCACGTTTCACAGTGTCCACAAAATAAAACAAGCCACTTGATAAGGGGCCATTCAGCTCTTTGTGGTTTTGATCTGAGAACTTCCTCTTGACACAGTGTAATCCAGTGACTCATGCTCTTTGTAAGAGTTTTTTCATATGGGGCAACACCTGTTTTCTAGGGCCTCAGTGTTTGCCAGTGGCAAAATGCATCAGTGCAGTTCAGAAGCAGTAACTCTTCTGGGCTTGAACTCCCAGCCTCAGGTGATCCGCCCGCCTCGGTCTCCCAAAGGGCTGGGCCCACTGCGCTTGGTCTCCCTTTTTTTTTAACAAGTGAAGAAATTGAGGCTAAAAATTATATACCCAGAGTCACAAAACTGGTCCATGCCAGAGCTGTGATTTTAACCCCAGCTGGTCTAATTATTAAAGCCTGGCTCTTTCAGAGCATGAGAAAGGGTTTACATTTTTCATGGGGTTCAAAACTAACATTTAGTTCCTTTTCCGATTATGAAAGTCAAACCTGTTTATTTAGAAAATAGAAAAAATGGGAAAAGAAAGAAGAAAAAACATTACCCATACTTTCATTATCTGAAAGAAATAAAGGTCATCTGTAGTCCCTGGTCATGGGGAAAAGGCAGGGCACAGGCCTCAGTGGTGTGGGATGAGGGTGAGAAGGGTGCTTTAAACTATGAGCCAGTTCCGAGTTTTCTTTTCATCCCAGCTAACTTTGGTCTATTAGTTTAGAAAACCTGGATTCTTGGTTTTGCTTTGCTAGACACTGGTTCTGGGACTTTTTGAAATCATTTTGCTGGGTACCCCGTACCCACACCCCCAAGGCTCTTATTTCCTTAAGCGGAAAATGAAAGATTGACTGGAAGCATTTCTCCAAAGTTGCTCTGGAAGGTGCTGAAAACCCTGATAACTTCTCCTAACTCAGGCCGATGAATCCAGATCTCAGGGGCCAGGGACTGGGAGTCCTCATTCCCCAGACACTGAGCAGATGGCTGCTCTCTGAAGACTGAGACCCACAGCAGGTGAGGGCTCCTGCTGAACCAGGCCTAGGGAGCTGCAGGCTCCACGTTCACCCTTACCAGCAGGAGGAAGAATCCTCCGACCAAGGCAGGTGTTTCTGCTCAGAAACACCCTCTCAGGTAACTCGGCCTGAGGCCTGCGCGGGCAGTTGCCATACTTCACCTGTAGGCGCCCAGGTTGATGCAGCTGATCCCCAGGTTGTATCTGGACCGGATGAAGCCCGGCTGGATCTCCAGTGCGCGGGTGTAGGCCTCCACGGCTTCCTCGCTGCGGTCTCCGTTGGCCAAGGTCGCCCCGAGACGGTTCCATAGTGAATAGTCCTGATGACAAAATCAGAGCTTTCTCACAACCCAGAGCAAGCCACAGTGACAGAGCATCCCAGATTTCTCCGCAGAGAAGGAAGATGGCTAAACATTTATTCAGTGCTCATGGGTGGAGACCGTGGCCAGGGGAATTACTACAAAATCTTCACGGACAGCTTTGTCAAATGACTTTCACTCATCAACAGCTAGCTCTGGAGGCTGTCATGTAATTGATGGTTCTATTTTAGGTGTTTCAGTATTAACAGCCACGTAGCACATCATTAGTACGCATCACTTGAAACCACTGGAGATGAAATGAAGTGGAGAAGGACTGTCGGCTGTGAACACTTGTTACAGAGAACACTGGTTTCTAGGTGCCCGGTGCCCCCTCACC